TTGGGTGGTGCACTCAGTTAAGCATCCAACTCTTGGTCTCTGCTCAGGTCATGATCTCAGGGTCATGAGATGGAGGCCTGCGTTGGGCTCTGTGCCGCGCGTGCAGTCTGCTTCAGTTTCTCTCTCCCTCTCCCTCTGCTCATGCTCTCTCTCTCTCTCTCTTTCTCTCAAATAAATAAATAAATCTTTTTTCTTAATCAGGAAATTCCACATTGACCCAATTCCATGAGCTAATCTATATTCAAGTTTTGTCAAATTGACATGTGATGTGTTCTTTATAGCTTCCTTGCTTGCTTTCCTTTCTTTCTTTCTTTTTTTGGTTTGATCACACATTGCATTTACTTGTCCTGTCTTTTTAGCCTCTAATTCAGAATCTTTAATCTCAGCTTTTCTTTGTTTTATTTGACCCTGACATTTTTGAAGATTGCAGGCCCATTAGTTTTGTAGAACGTCTCACACTTTGGGTTTGTTCAGTGTAGCTTTGTGATTAGTTTCAGGTTTTCTGTTTCTGGCACGGGTGCCCCAGAGGTGATATCACGTCTTTCTCATATGTCAGGGGCCTATGATGTTGGTCTGTCCCATTGCTGAGTGGTTAACTTCCATCATTTGGTTACATGGTGTCTGCCAATTTCCTCCACTGTAAAGTTACCATTTTTCCTCTGTAATTAACAAGCATTTTACAGGAAGATACTTTGAGACTATGTGAATATCCTGTGGCTCCCCCAGATTTTCATCTCCTAAATTTGGCATCCATCCATAATTTTCTTTCTTTTTTTTTTAAGATTTTATTTATTTATTTGACAGAGACAGGGCACAAGCAGGGGGAGTGGCAGGTAGAAGAAGCAGACTTCCCGCCCAGCAGGGAGCCCCTATGTGATGCTCAATCCCAGGACCCTGGGATCAGGACCCGAGCCAAAGGCAGACATTTTAGCCGACTGAGCCACCCAGGTGCCCCCATCGATAATTTTCTAACCCTACCATCCCTTCTTTGTTTATGAATTGGAATTCTACTACTAAGGAAGAGCTTTCCTAGATGTTTGTTAAGTTCCTCTGTCAGGGATGGAGCCCCTCCTTCTTTTCTTTTCCCACTTAGTTTCTGTCTCCAAACCCACACCCATCTCCACTCCCCGCGTCGGCACAGTTCTTACATTAGTGAGTCTCATTTCTGGGCAATTGGTCTGAACTCTCTGAGGCAAATAAGATCGAGAGGTCATAGATGTAGCTCACACGTCAATTCCAGGGGGGATAGAAATGGGGGTCTGGAGGAGGCGAGGAGGTCGGAGTGCCTGTCTCTGCCACTCCTCTCCCTGTAACACTCTTCTCTCCAGCGGTTGCCCTGTGATGCACTGGGATGGAAAAAAAGGGCGGGTGAAATCAAATGTCATTCGGGATTCTTACGTAACCTGAGGTAGGGTCAGGGCTGGTGCGCAAATGCGGCCAAATCGGGGAGAAATGGGGCAGCTAATCCCACAGAGCAGATCACACGCCTGTCACTTCTGCTCCTGCTCTTGAGTTGACAGAAGCATTTATTCCCATCATCTTCCCGTTGCCCCTGTGGGTAATTGAAGCTGATGAGGGCCGGGCACACAGGATGAGGTTAGTCCTCTCTGGGAGCTTCCCAGGACTCATCCTGGGGCTGAAGCAACATTACAGGTGAGGTCACCCCACAGGAAGGACCGCTCTATGGTGTGCCTCATAGGACGCAAGGGCTCATTGTGGAAACCATAGCATGCTGAGTTTAGGATGCTGTGAGAACAGAATGTTCTAGACAAAGAATGTGGGAGAATCTCTAGGTCTGGAGAGTAAGGATTTGTCAGTCGTTTTTGCTGGTTTGTTTTTCTCTCTGTGGTGCTAGATATGAGGCTCATTTTTCAGACCGTAATAGACCTTAGAGTCTATTAGACTCTAGAGAGGAGAAGGAAAGTTCTCCAGCTTGAACTAGAGAAGATCTGTAGCTTGAAAGGCTCTGTCACTTCCTAGGTGGGTTCTCCTTGGGCAACTTATTTAACCTCTGAGCCTCAGCTTCCTCATCCATAAAGTGGGTATAACAAACCCAAGGGGGACAGCGTATGTGACGTAGATGGTTCCTACCTGCCATTTTACATACATTTTTTCTACTCTTATTAAAAAAGAAACATAAGATTGATGTTCAGTAAGTTTAATACACAATTACTAATGAAAATAGCCTTTGAAAGAACAACTCAATCATCACATTGTACACCTTAAACTCACACAACATTCTCTAAAAGGCTATATCTGCAATTATACCTCAATAAAGCTTGGGGAGGGTGTATGGAAACAAGCCAGATAACCTTCGGTGAGTGAGGAGAATGGCGAGAAGGAAGCGTTGATGCGCTCAGCAGCTTGGGTGGTTCTCCAGGGCATTGTGCTGAGTAAAAGCGGCCAGTCTTGAAGCTACACACTGTGATCCCATGTGTATACCATTCTCCAAGTGAAGACACTGTAGTGCTGGGGACCAGCTCAGCGGCCGCTGAGGGTTACAGTTGGAAGAAGGATGTGACTAGTAACACAAGACAAAGTCCTCTGGTTGAGTTACACCTGTCTTACACGTATGACAAAAATCTCAAATGGCAGACTTACACACAAGGTGCATTAAAGACTAGTGAAAAATGAGACAAAAACAACCATTGCTAAGAATCCACCCTAAAAATGTTACCAGCTATCTAAGAAAGCATTCCTATACACAAAGATGTTCGTTGCATAATTCAGCAAGAGGGACTGCAGAGTACCCCTCAAAAAAACAAAATGATTTCAAATAATTTTAAAGACATGGGGCATTTTAAAATGAAAATCCAGGAGATAAAACCATAGCTCCAGTCTGACCTCAATTAGAGAAATACAGCGTGGGAGGTGGGGGGACCAGAAATCATCCCATAAAAGGTGATGAGTAAGACACTTGGGGTGTTGAGGTGGGCTTCTTTCGTTTCCTTCTTGGTTTGTCAGTAGGCTCTTCTCTAGTTGCATCATATTCTGTCGTGTTCTGTGGCTCACACCTTGCTCGCCCAAGTGCCCCTTGATCTGGGGGTAGGGCTCCCAAGCGGCAGGGCCCAGTGGGACAGGGGTGCTCTGGCCCAGCGATGTCATTTCCAAAGCCCTGTGCCTGACAGCCACTTTTGGGAGAGTGAAGACTTGGGTTCTGGCTTTGGAGAGCTGAGGTCTCCGCCTCAGAAGCAGGAGCTCCTGCAAGTGGGAGCACCTTGTAAAACTCAGCCCGACCAGCCCCCTGCAGACACCACCAGCAGCAGCCTCTCACCTCCAACTCAGTCGGCCTAGAAGAACAAGAAGCAAGTGCTCCCTGCCTCGTTTGCTGCTTTTGGAATCATTCTCACCACATTCTTGATAGGAGTTTTGGTGACCTGGGCAGGGTCACCCCAGAGGCAGACCGTGTGCCCCCCTCCCCTCTGGGCGGTTAGTCCCTGAGTCCTGACTCCCCTTGCCCCTTCTTGGGTGGGGGTGGAGGAGGCCTGTCCTGCAGGAAGGGTAACGCCCATCTGAGCCTAGACCACAACAGAGCTGGAGCCAAGGCCTATCTGCCTTCCCTCGGGCTCAGAGTGAATGAAAGGACAAAGGACATTTTTAGTGTGAGCGTGGCTTTCTAATCTTCCAGAACTGCCTTAGACCCAAATTGAAATTAAGTCAGTCATGTATTTGTGGATTCATACATATTCCTAAGACCTGACTGCACAGAAGTGGCGCTGTGTGAAGCACAAAGGAGAGACAAAGGCCCTGAAAGCCCCTTGTTTCTCCAGGAGCATATGATACAGCTAGAAAATGAGACACACACACGCAACGGCTGAGTGAGGCCCCAGAGTGAGACCCGAACTGCGCGGAACTGAGTAGAGGGGCCCTGAATGCTAGAAGAGGGAGTGAGAGTGACCACTACGCTGAAGTGGTCGGAGAAGGAAGGCTTCCTAGAGGAGGCGACCCTTGAGCTGGGCCTGGCAGGGTGGGTAGTATGGGGAGATACCCGATCGGGCAAGGATGCTGGGCTGGAGAACACCCATGAGCGAAGCTGTAGAGGCCAGGAGGATGGCTGGAGGCCAAGCCCCGAGTGTGTGGGGATGGACCAGCCAGAATCGGACCGCCTCGGGGGTCCCCCGCGCTCGGGGGAAGGTGGGACAGGCCTCACAGCTCGTGTTCCCACTCCCACCGCAGGACAACACCATCGACTTCTTGGAGTATGTGGCAGCTCTGAACCTTGTGCTGAGGGGCACCCTGGAGCACAAGCTCAAGTGGACCTTCAAGATCTACGACAAGGACTGCAATGGCCACATCGACCGCCAGGAGCTGCTCAACATTGTGGAGGTGAGAGGGGCCCCTGCAGCTGGGGGCGGGGGGACGGGGGGCTGGGGGCGGGGAGTAGCACTGGAATCAATCAGAGGGTGCTTTCCCATCTTAGAGAGTTAGGCTAGAAATCAATTACAAAAAGATACCTAAAAAATTCCCCATCTGTTTGGAAATAAGGCCACACACTCCCAGACAGTCCAGAAATCAGAGAAATTCTATCACACCTAGGCACACCAAGTGTTTTGAACGGGGTGATAATGCACACGTAACAACAAAACTGGGAAATGTTGCCAACACTAGGCTGGCAGAGGCTTTTTAGCCCTAAAATGTATACGCCAGAAAATGAGAGGCTGGAGATCAATGATCTTAGAAGTCATCTCAGGAAATGAGAAAAGAAACAGGGGCTCATAGGTGGCTCAGTTGGTTAAGAGTTTGCCTTGGACTCAGGTCATGATCCCTGGCCCACAACCAGCTCCCTGCTCAGTGGGGAGTCTGCCTCTCCCTCTCCCTCTGTCCCTCCTCCTGCTCATTCTCTCTCTCACTGATAAATGAATAAATAAAATCTTAAAAAAAAGAAAAGAAAAGAAATGAGAAAAGAGAAGAGTAAATTAAACCCAGAGAGTAGAAGAAGGGAAATACTAAAGAGCAGAAATGAATGAAATAGGAAACAAACGCATAGAGAAGAAAAGTCAACAAAACCAAAAGCTGGTTCTTTGCACGATGAACCACACTGACAGCAAGAATGAGCAAGGAGGAAACCGTCCCTAGTATAACTCGGACTGACACTGGACTAGATCAGCCTGTTCCTCCCCAGAACTGTACTCCCAAGTGGGGCTTGTCCACCCAGGTCAGAGACAAAGGAGTCCCCTCTGGATAGTACTGTGGTTTGCCCAAGTTCATCCCTCCCAGGAGGTGCTGGGGCTGGCTGTAGCTCCGGGGTTCCCAGACCCTGTCTGTGGGGCCCACTGTGTCTCATGTGCCACACTGGGCTGTGAGACCCTGGGATGGACAAGACAGGCCTCTGTCGGCAGAGCGCCCCGTCAGGGAACTGAGGAAAACCCTCACATGTCTCTGTGTCTTCACCACTTCCCTTCACCAATGGTGCCTCACAGGGAGGGGACACAGGGCAAAGGAGAAACCTGTTTTTCCCTCCAGTCCAAACCCCAGTATCTCCCATCATCCTATGTTACACACACGCCCATAAGTACACTCCATGCTCTTCTCTTGGGCTCTCCCTGTGTGTCAAGTGGAGTTGATACCACCACAGAGCAGGGTACCTTCCTCACTGAAGGGTTTGGGGTTCAGTCAGATGCTCACAGGGGAAAAGCCACTGGCATCAGGCTGAGGGAGCCTGTGAGGCCTGACACGCAGTTGGAACTAGGCCCTAGGCCGGGTCAGTTTTTATTAGGGTCTGGGTCCTGTGGGCCTAAGATGCACCAGCTGGCGGCGGAGGGTGGACAGTGCTGGGGATGCAGGGCTGAGGGCCTGGGGTCCTGGCAGCAAGAGGGAGGGAGCACGCAAGCTCTCAGGGTGGTATGGAGGGGGAGGCCCACGCCTGGTTTTCTCCCACAGGCGATCTACAAGCTGAAGAAAGCCTGCAGGGTGGAGATGGAGTGTGAGCGGCAGGGACAGATGCTCACCCCCGAGGAGGTGGTGGACAGAATCTTCCTTCTGTTGGATGAGAACGGAGACGGTAATGGGGGGCAGAGGTGGGGGGCGGCCCACTCCACAGCACCCCCAGGCCCTCCACCTCCCAGCCACGGTTTCCTCATCTGTGAGCTGTGGGCAGAGAGGAGGACATGACATAACAGGGGTGTCACTGGCTCGTGAGGTTGGAAAGAGGGATGGACGCTCCCACTGGAGCCGCTGATGGAAGCTGGGCAGAGCACCGTGAAAGAGTAGGAGCTCAGGAGTCAGGCAAGCCATTTCCCCACTCGGCCTGGACTCAGTTTCCTCATCTGGAAAATGGGGAGAATAGTAATTCTGAGGAATCAATGAGGGGAGATATTTGAGAGAAAGGCGTGGGGTAGGCCCCCATTCAAACTACTGAGGCCCTCTGCCCTGTGGCTTGATACCCCTGGCTGACTGGGAACACACCCAGAAGAGCCCTCAGTAGCATTTTGAAGGGGCCAAAGTAAACACAAATTCATTTGCAAAGCCAGTCCCTTTAAGGAATCCTGGAAGCTTCCAGGAGACTCTGGGAGAAGGGAGAATTAACCGGCCTGGTGGGCCCCAGACTGCAGGCTCATTTGTATAAGAGGTGTAGCTTGTCTAAGAGGCTGCCCCCTGCGAGTGGAGGCCTCTCCTCTTGCCCCCAGCCCCATTTCCTCACGCTCCCACACCACCATCTCTCCTACCCCTCACTTAGGCCAGCTGTCTCTGAATGAGTTCATGGAAGGTGCCCGTCGGGACAAGTGGGTGATGAAGATGCTGCAGATGGACGTGAACCTCAGTGGCTGGATCTCTCAGCAGAGGCGGAAAAGTGCCATGTTCTGAGGATTCGGGGGTCCTGGGAGCCCAGTATGTGTCCACAGGCCCCTCCAGGACTCCAGGCTCACCAGGTTTCCCAAAGAGCGAGAGGGTCCCTGGCTCAGCCTGCTTGTGCCCACTCTTATCTGGCTCCCCTATGAAAGGGACTGGGCTGAGGCGGGTGGCTAGGGGCTCTTGGCCTGAAGTGGCTGACAGGACACAGTCCGAGGGCAGGATTTACCCGGGTGGCGAAGGGAACCGGCTTCCTCTGTCCTTTCAGCTGCTTCTGGGGAAAGTATGCTTCGGCTGGGTGGTTGTGGGGCATCCACAATTTCCTACCTGGTTCCTACCTGGAAGCAGGGGAACACTGAGGGATGAGGGTCCCCTAGACTGCCCCCACAGTGGGAAGCCGGGGGCTGGAAGGTGTCGCATCTGAAGAAAAAATAGGACTTGGGGCGTGAGTCCTGGATCCTGAGGAGTTCATGGGGAGGTCTCTCGCCTCCCCCTCCCAACTTGTCTTCACCAGGGGTGTCTGCAAGGGAAAATTGCAGCCAGTAAGGTGCTGGTCTCCCGGCCCTCTGTCCTCAGAGGGATCGGCTGTGCTTGAAGGAGCTGTTTCAGCTCTGCCCCAGTGCGGCTCCTCCAGCCACACCCCCACACAAACCTCCTCTCCCCCTCCCCGCCCCTCATCCCACACCTGCCTCTCCCATTGACCCAAGATGGCCATTTCTCTCTCCCTAACCTCAATTATCGTCTCTGCGCACTGAGCAAGTTGGACAAACCAGGCGGTTTTTTTATTATTATTTTTTTTAGATGTGAAGTTATTTTGTCATACAACTCTATGTGTAGCCCCAGTGTACAAACTAGATTTAAAGGGAGTTGTTCTTGTTAAACTGGGTGGGGGGGGCAGGGGGCAGTGAGGAACTCAGAACAGGAACTTCTTTGAAGAGATGTGTTTTTATGTTGATGGATGAAAAATAAAAAAAACTCACCTACTGAACTGCAGTTTTGTAGGCATGATATTCATATAAAGTTTCCTTTAGGGGCGCCTGGGTGACTCAGTCGTTAAGCCTCTGCCTTCCGCTCAGGTCATGATCCTGCCACGCATGGGGCTCTCTGCTTGGCAGGGAGCCTGCTTCCCCCGCCCTCTGCCTGCCTCTCTGCCTACTTGTGATCTCTGACTTGTGATCTCTGTCTGTGAAATAAATAAATAAAACCTTAAAAAAAAAATAGTAGGGGCGCCTACTACTAAAATAGTAGGTGGCTCAGTGGGTTAAGCCTCTGCCTTCGGCTCAGGTCATGATCTCAGGGTCCTGGGATCGAGCCCCACTCCGGACTCTCTGCTCAGTGGGGAGCCTGCTTCCTCCTCTCTCTCTGCCTGCCTCTCTGCCTACTTGTGATCTCTGTTTCTCTTTTAAATCTTAAAAAAAAAAAAAAAAAAAAAAAAAGAATAGTAATCCAGGTGGACACAGATCAGCCCAAACATCAGGAAGGTGGTGTGGGCCTGACGTTGGGGAAATGTCCTAATTCTGTTCAAATATCCTCCCACCTCCCACCTTCAGGATTTCCCAAGAGGCAGCCACCAAGAGAAGGCGTGGAAATGTCAACTCCCTTTTCTTCCAGGCTGCCCCTGGCATTGATCTCCACCTTCCCGCCAGGTCTGTGCTCAGGTTTTGGCTGATTTACCAGCCTGAGGTGGTCCCAGTGATTACTGGTAGGACCCTCTCTTCCCCAACCCCCTCCCCACGGTGAGGATGCCTCTCAGCAAGCTGGAGCTTCATTCCTCTTACCCCTTGTTTTCTCTCTCCTACCCTTGGATTTTTATTCACTCCTTGTCCTTCCCCCACACCCAGCAGAAGTGAAGACTCAAAGCCCAGAAGGAGCATCTTTGCAAAAATGAGGCCAGCTGCTCCAGCCTCCAGGTTCTTGGAGAGGTATTCCCAAAGCCGGGGCGTGCAAAAAATGGGAATGGGGCCCACTTGTAACTAACTGCCTGCCCCACTTCCCAACTGGTGTCAGGTATCACTGCAGCAAGAGGGATTTAAGCTAGACCCGGGAGGGATGGTCAGGACACTTGCCACAGGCAGTGAGTCACAGAGCTGCGGGATGGGCCAGCGCGGGAAGTCAGGGTGCTGTGCAGTCACTTCTGAACAAAGACGGAGTTCCTCTGGATAAATGAGGACTTTCTCTAGTATCCTAGCTTCTCTTTCCGTATTTTATTATACTAATGCTTAGCCTGTTCCTTAGGGATCCTCTTCTTGGCGTGTCCAACATCTAGCGTTCCTACAAAGAAGGTGTGTGATAAACACTTGGGGAAGGGAGGGATAAATCAACACACCACACAAGTAGGCTCGGGGTGCTGGGGTGCAGGTTGGGTGTGTGATTGCAGCACCTGATCTGTAGGATTCCATCAGGGTCCCTGAAAGCCCAGCTCCGAAATAGGGGGACTGGAGCATCTCAGTGGGGAAAAGCTGGGGGAGGTCCCTGAGGGTCCCCCAGGAGGGGCAGTCACCACCAGCTGAGTCATGCACAGGGTTCAGGAACCATCCTACCGGACTCCCACCCCTGCCCTTCTGGCCCACCCATCCCACACCCCAAAGAGGGGAGCTGAGCCTTTGAGTTCAGCAGACCACATCTAGTATTACAGTGACGACCTTAGGCACCAACACACGACCCCTCCCCAGTACAGAATCAGCCCAGCGGTGGGCTCAGCCGGCTGCCTCAGTCTCCCCACCGCCTGCCCCCTCCCCACCCTCCTCCTCCTCGCGGTTCTGGAGCCTGCGAACGATGCGGGTGAGGTCCAGGCTCCGTGTCAATGTGTCCAGGAGCATCTGGTCCTTCTGGACGCCCTCGATGAACTCCTCCAGGGACAGTTCCCCTGTCGTACAGAGAAAGGGAGTCAGGGGGAGGAGGGTGCTCCCCACTTCCCCGTAGCATGGAGGGGGGCAGAGCCAATGCTAGGTGAAGCGAGGCTGTGAGGGGGGCAGCTAAAGGAGCCAGAGCCCAAAGTCTGGTCCCTAAAATCCAACTCTTGTGCCTGGGGCAGGGGCAGATGGAGGATGTGGCCAGCAGAGGGCCCGCCCCTCTCCCCCCACCCCCCCACCCCCCACAGCGGTCCCCATCCCAGACTCCTCACCATCCCCGTTGACATCAATCTTGGAGAACACTGTATTGGTGAACTCTTCGGCACTCATGGTGGAGTCGCTGCAGGGGTTAATGGCTCGGATGGCCTGGGGAGAAGTGAGAGGACCCATCCTAGCTCAGCCTCAGTGGTGTCAGAATAACAGACTGGGCACTAGAGGCAGCCCTGGGGTTTAAGAGCTTGTCTCCGTGCAGATGGAAAAATAGAGGCCGAGAGGGTGGACGGCCTGCGGCCCCAATCACGCTACCCATCCCACCCCCACTCCTCCCCCTACCCCCAGCCCCGAGCCGGACGCTCAGTCCCAACCCAGCCCCCTTCTGAGACTACAGTTCTTCTTTCTGAAGACCCATCGCGCCTGCCGGCCCTCAGGCAGCCTGTCGGCTGGGGTGGGCCCCGCCGCTGCCCCCGCCCCGGCCCGGCCCTCTGCACCTGGAGTTACCCGGATGATGGTGAGCAGCTCATCGCGGTCGATGCATCCATTGCCATCGACGTCGTAGAGCTTGAAGTACCAGCGCAGCTTCTGTTCCACCTTCCCCTTGAGGACCAGGCTGAGCGCAGCCACGTACTCCATGAAGTCGATGTAGCCGTCCTGGGCGAAGAGGCACAGCCGCTTGAGCCCGATCTCCAGAGGCCCCAGGAAGGCCAAGCCCAGGTCGCTTCCCGTGCCCTTTCTGCTCCAGTCCTGCCGCTTCTGTCCCCGCCTCCAGGCAGCCCACCAAGCCTGCCCCAGAGGCTGCCAGCAGCTTTGGTAAACCACCCATCTCCAGGGATGTAAATGGTGGTGCTCTCTCTTTACTGGCACTTTGGTGCCAGCGGTCACTGGCTGCTCCCCTGTGATTCTCCAACTGGAGCCCTTCCAGTTGCAAGAGGTGTTGGTGAAGGAAGAGGAACGAACCACCAGGGTAAGTTGTGGTCTTTGGAGCTGGGGAGAGGGCAGGTGGTAGATAGGGAGGACGGAGCACCTGTCTTATTCTTCCCTTTATTCTTCAAACTTTACTGAGCACCTACTATGCTCAGTGATAGAGGCTTCAGAACTCAGTAAGACATGAGCCCGGTCCTGATGGGAGTGCAGTACTGGGATGCAGGTTTGAATCTTGCCTTCACCCTCTCAAAGCTGTGGGATCTGGGACAAGCACTCAGTGTTTCTGGCCCTCCATTTCCTCATCCATAACAGTTCTAATAGTACCTACCTCTGTGGGATTGCGGTGGGAGTGGGTGAGTTTATATGTCTAAAGCACTCAACACTGCCTGACGTACAGTAAACACTGAGGAAATGGTAACCCTTACTACACGTACTAGAATTGTTTCTATAAAGAGATCATTAGGGCACCAGGGTGGCTCAGTCGATAAAATCCCCACCTTCAGCTTGAGTCATGATCCCAGCATTGTGGGATCAGGTCCCGCATCTGGCTCCTGCTCAGCGGGGAGCCTGCTTCTCCCCCTCCCTCTGCCTGCAGCTCTGCCTACTTGCGTTCTCTCTTTGTCAAATAAATGAATTAAAAATCTTAGAGAGAGAGAGAGATCAGTATGCCGTTGTGATGAAATATAGTGACAGCACATCTGGACGGGACATTATGGAATCCCAGAACAAGATCACCCAGCTCTGCCAGGACAGAGGCCAGAGGAGAGGCTCAAGGAGGCTTCCTGGGAAAGGTGGTGCCCTTTTGAGTCTGAGAGGGGTTGACCATGTGAGAAAGTGGCACAAGACATGCCTGGGGGATATTTCTCCAGGGTCCCCAAAATTTCACAGGCTGACCCATTGTCTGACCCTCTGCCAGCCCCACCGGGGGTTCAGGGAAGTGGGGAACATAGGCCTGCCTCTGCCCATCTCACCCCCGAGTGAGGCCGGGAGAGGGAAGTCTGTGCTTTACAGAAAGGCTGAGCCCTCCTAAGGAGCACAGGCTCAGCATGTGAACTTGGAGTTCAGCCCCTGTTCCTCCACTTACTCACAACCCCGGCTCTGGAACCGGGAAGTTATCCAGAGGCACGTTTGGGGTCGGAAGGAAGACCTCTTAACAGGCAGATTTGCTGCTGGCAAACGGGCCAGCCTGGTGCAGTAATGAGCTCCCCGTCACTGAAAGCATGCGAGTAGAGGCTGGAGCACTGTCATTAAAGATGTGGCAGAGGCTGGGCAGGATGGCCTCTGAGGTCTGGCTCTGTGCCCCCCGCCCCAGGCCTCAGGTGAGGCCTTGATGAGCCGGAGCCCCACAGTGGGTGCTGAGATCATAGTAAACATTCGTGTGGTGCTTCCCTGTATTCATAGGCTTTCACATAAGCCTTAGCTCATTCCATCCTTGCCCGACCAATGCCCGGGGCTGTCCTCAGAACAGAGCAAGGCCTCCCTTGCCACACTGCTCAGAGAAGCGAGAAAAACGGCCAAGGAGGTCTCCCCTGGGTAAAAGGACATGGAACAAGGACACTTTGGTTTTTCATTTTTCATCTCTCTCTACTGTAGGAAATGTTTACAGTGAGCTTTCACATAATTACAGTGAGTAATTTAAAAAATTACTTTCATAGTTTTTTTTTTTTAAATGGCAAAAAAGGAGCAATGGAAAAGTATGGGCTCTTGTGCCAGAAAGAGCTAATTGATGTCTTAGGAGAGTGCGGCCTTGGACAAGTCACGGGGCCTCTCTGAGTCTCGGTTCCGCAGCTGGACACTGGGAATGACAGGGCCTGCTTTTCAAGACCTCAGTTTGGGTGAGATTCCGTAATACCACAACGACACTAACTTCTTTCTAGTGCCTCTCGCTCAGTGTTTTATTTGCTTTCCTCCTTTAATCTCATGACCACCCCTGGGAGGTGGGATTTTGGTCCTCATTTTCGGAGGAAAGCTGTTGTGAGGAGGAATTAGACCTCACAACCAGTGAATGAGCGAGCCTTGGCTAGAAGCTGGGTAGCCTAAACCCCACCGGGCCTAAGAGGCAGGGGTGAAGATTTACACGATATGTGTGCACCTGTGTGAGTGCTGGGCACGGCCAAGCCCAGGCAAAGCTTTGAAGCAAGCAAAGTAGGCACTTATCTCCCCCCCCCTGCCCCCCAGGCACACTCCCCATGCAAGCTTCCGCTTCCCTCAACCTTGCCCTTCCAGCACAGTCCACAGGATCTAGCTGCCTGTCAACTCAGGGACGGGCTGGCCAACCTTTTCTGTAAACGACCAGATCACAAATATTTCAGTCTGGGTGATGTGTAAACAAGTGGGCGTGGTGTGTTCTACTGAAGCTTCACTTATAAAAATAGGCCCACGGGCCATTGTTTGCACAGACCCATTGAACTTCCCGTTCCATTGTCCCATCTCTCCGATGACCTGCTAGGCCGCTCTGTGCTCGTGACAATGGGTAGACGGCAATCGTGCCCAAAGTGGGATTTACACCGTTGGTGTATGTGAGGTCCTTTAAATGTTACAAAGATACTCTTCATTTTAATAATTACGTGTTTAAGTTCATGTGTATTAGAAAACACAGAATTTGCACAAAGAACTCGTGATTTCTCAGATAACAAATATTCGTTAAGCCCCTACCCTCGTCCAGGCATCGTTCTAAGTGCTAGGGACACAGCACTGAACCAGACAGACAAAAATCTCTGTCCTCCTGGAGTTCACATTCCAGTGAGGGAGACAGACAGCAAACATAGTGGCTAAGTGTTATTCAGCACGTCTTAGAAGATGAGACGTGCTGGGGGTAGTGGGGGGAGGTGGGACAGGAAATGCAAGGGTAGCGGCTAGCCCCAGTTAAACAGGGTTTCAACCAGGAAATCGGGGCAGGTGTCAGCGGGAAGGAGACTTCTAGGCAGAGACTTGTAATGGGGGAAGGTGTGAGCCAAGCAGAATTTTGGAGGAAGAGGGTCCCAGGCATCAGAAAGGCCCTAAGGTGAAGGTGTGCATGGTGTAATCAAGAAAGTCAGGTCTGGGGGCACCTGGGTGGCTCAGTGGGTTAAAGCCTCTGCCTTCGGCTCAGGTCATGATCCCAGCGTCCTGGGATCGAGCCCCACATCGGGCTCTCTGCTCCGCGGGGATCCTGCTTCCTCCTCTCTCTCTCTGCCTGCCTCTCTGCCTACTTGTGATCTCTGTCTGTCAAATAAATAAATAAAATTAAAAAAAAAAAAAATATATATATATATATATATATATTCAAGAAGAGAAATTAAAGATATATATATCAATCAAGTAATATACCATGTTATAGAATTGGAAGTCTCATATTGCTGAGATTATGGGGGTAAGTAAATGGAACACATGCTTAACTGCAATCCCAATCAAAATCCCAGGAAGATTATTTTTTGTAGAAATTGATTGGAAAACAAGGGCACCACTGAAATTCAGTGGGAAAGACAGTCTTGTCAATAAGTGGGACTAGAGGGGCGCCTGGGTGGCTCAGTGGGTTAAAACCTCTGCCTTCAGCTCAGGTCATGATCCCAGGGACCTGGGATCAAGCCCCGCATCGGGCTCTCTGCTCGGCAGGGAGCCTGCTTCCGCCTCTCTCTCTGCCTGCCTCTCTGCCTACTTGTGATCTCTGTCTGTCA